GAGTGCATACATTTTCATACTGGTCATACACGATGTGTAGATGAAATATCTCTGTTACATACAGTCTGTCTTTTACCTGTCAGTCAGTCAGTCAGTCAGTCAGTCAGTCAGTCTGTCTGTCTGTCTGTCTGTCTGTCTGTCTGTCTGTCTGTCTGTCTGTCTGTCTGTCTGTCTGTCTGTCTGTCTGTCTGTCTGTCTGTCTGTCTGTCTGTCTGTCTGTCTGTCTGTCTGTCTGTCTGTCTGTCTGTCAGTCAGTCAGTCAGTCAGTCAGTCAGTCAGTCAGTCAGTCTGTCTGTCTGTCTGTCTGTCTGTCTGTCAGTATGTCTACCTGTCTGTCAGTCTGTCTACCGGTCTGTCAGTCTGTCTGTCAGTCTGTCTACCGGTCTGTCAGTCTGTCTACCGGTCTGTCAGTCTGTCTACAGGTCTGTCAGTCTGTCTACCGCTCTGTCAGCCCCAGGTGTATATGAAGGAGCTACATGACTCAGTGTGCATCCCAAATGGCACTACTTTTGACCAGGCCCATAGCATCATATTCCCTGACCCACAGTGGTCTAAAGTAGTGCACTATATAGGGAATATGATGCCATTTGGGACTGAGCCCAGTAAATCAGGAAGGACTACTCCCAATCATCTTGGCTCTGACACACACATAAGGAAATTGAATGTGGCTTTCTTCTGAAACCAAGTTATAGGTACTTCAGTACACAAACACGCACACACCAATGTAACGAGCCATACCGTGCAGGGCCCAGTCAGGTCTTTGACACATTCACCCTCTCACCCACTGAAAGATCAGCAACAAAATGTTTGGATCATTGTAACAGGTTGTAATCAAGCCCTGGTCTCCAGCATGGGAACAGAATAGGAATATCTGGTGCGGTAATCTCAGGAAGGACTACTCCAAATCATCTTGGCTCTGACACACACACAAACAAATGCAAGCTTTGCAGGTCAATCAACCCATCTAAATACCTCTCACACCCTACAGTAACCTGTGGATTATGAGAGAACCATAAATCAGCAGAACTATGATAACCTATTTATTGACACGTTATGTAGTGTCCTGTAATACTCAGCCTGAAATTAAAATTGATTACATTTAGATTGTTTTGTCACTGCATACACACAATACCCCATAATGTCAAAGTAGAATTATGTTTTTTCTAAATGTATACAAACTAACTAAAAATGAAAAGCGGAAATGTCTTGAGTCAATAAGTATTCAAACCCTTCGTTTTGGCAAGCCTAAATACATTCAGGAGTAAAGATTTGCTTAACAAGTCACATAATAAGTTGCATGAAATCACCCTGTGTGTGATAATAGTGTTTAACATGATTTTTGAAAGACTATCTCATCTCTGTACACCAAACACACAATTATCTGTAAGGTCCCTCAGTCGAGCAGTGAATTTCAAACACAGATTCAAACACAAAGACCAGGGAGGTTTTCCAACTCCTCGCAAAAAAGGGCACCTATTGGTAGATGGGTAAAATAAAAAAAAGCAGACATTGAATATCCCTTTGAGCATGGTGAAGTTATTAATTACACTTTGGATGGTGTATCAATACATCCAGTCACTACAAAGTTATAGACGTCCTTCCTAACACCGTTGCCGGAGAGGAAGGAAACTGCTTAGGGATTTCACCATGAGGCCATTGGTGACTTTAAAACAGTTACAGAGTTTAATGGCTGTGATAGGAGAAAACTCAGAATGGATCAACAACATTGTAGTTACTCCACAATACTAACCTAATTGACAGAGTGAATTCCTCCATATGAATGAATGGAACTCTACAGTATTTCAATTAAATGTTTTAAGGACAAAATTACATGTATTTAAATATTATTTTGCTGTTGTGGGGACAGTAGAAATAGTAATCTAAAAACATATATACTTTAAGGAATTTGTTAAAATATTTGTTTCCTTTTTTTTATTTGCCAGTTTAGCTCACATAATATAATTTTACATTATGCATTAAGGTGTCTGTAATATAATACACGTGGCAAAACAAATGTAGACAATAATAAATGCTTTTCTATAGCATCCAAAATATTTTGTATAATGGTGGGAGAGCGCCAAGATGGAGGCACGGTGGCTTCAACACAGCACCCCCTATCAGTCATCTAGTGTATATATAAATCATTGGTTCCAACCTTAAAAGTAACAGCAAAGAAAGTTAGCAGGATGTTAGGAAATACCTTTGTAAAACCATCTGGATAAGGACATTTCTGTGCTGCACCAGAAATACTCTAAATGGGTAGATGGGAAACTCGATTCATATTATTACATTCTATTTCATTTACAAATCTCATGACGTGACTATGAGACGTGGCTGTATCTAGGGGGGGGGGGTTATTTAGTTGATACTGCTAGCTAGCTACATTTTGTATTGGTATAGCTAGCTAGCTAGCTTATGCTGCTAACATTAGCTAGCTATCTAACGTTGGCTGGCTAGCAATTGCTGTGAAGTCACCGAAATTATTTGAAATAACGATTGGGGTAGTTATGTAATCTAACTCAATGCTTAACTATTACAAACTCATTTAAATTATAATAAATAAAGGTTATCTTACTCATTTCTCGCTGTCCAGTGGCACCACAAGTGGACATTTGATTTGCAAACTGCATCATGTGCACTTGAAGTGCTACAGAAACACTGCTAACCAAACAACAGTGCATGCTCACAGGGTAACTACACACAAAATCTAAGTTTCTTAGATTTTTCCCAGACCTCAAAAGTGGTCCCCTGATGCGGTTTAAGCATTGTTGTGAACACAGAAAATCACATTGTGTTGTTTTTCTATTAAAAAGTGTGAATAAAACTGGGGGAAACCAGAAAAAACTAGGAGAAATCCAAAACCTGGAAAAACTAAACCCAGAAACAGAATTAGGGAAAAAAATACAGAATTAGCCATAAAATACAAACAGATTTTAAAAGGCCCTACTAGCGTGTGACATCCTGCAGCACAGCATTTTGGGGAAAGTTGAGGTCAGGTCCAATATTGGCTATGCACCCAAGAGGGAAATAGGTTGGGACATCCAATAATTGTTTTTGAGTAATATAGTAATGCCATTAAGCAGACACTTTTATCCAAAGCGACTTATTGTCATGTGTGCATACATTTTTACATATGGATGGTCCCGGGAATCGAACCCATTATCCTGCTCTACCAAGATGCATGATAAGGTTATAAATTCTTTGTGAAGCCTCAATTTAATATTATTTTATAAAGCTGGACTATTTGACATTGGTGGTTGTCACACTGTTATGCCACATTTATGAACTCTTTATAGAGCATGACATATGGTTATAGATGATTTGTGACACATTTATGTCGTGTTTATGAAGGCTTTATGAAGGCTTTATGAAGCCTTTATAAGCTGCACGTAATTTAAAGCGGGACCGAAATATGTATTGTATTGTTTATATTTTAATGACAACATATTCACTTAGGATCTCACTTGGTGAAGGCCACAGGAATGAATGCAACAACCATGTCTCTGTCACTAGCAAACACAGTCATGAGTGGTACTGGTAACTCTAAAATTCACTTGAAGGGCACCCAGGAAAATATGCAAATAAGCTTAAAACCCTACAGCAGGGCTATTCAATTCCGGTCTTGGAGGGCCGAAACATTTTTGGTTTTTAATTTTTGTATGGTCCTTCAAAGAACCAACCCATTTATGGTTCTTCAGAGACCCTAAATGGTTCCCTATGGCATCGCTCTCAATAACTGAATTTGGTTCTAAATTGCACTTTTAATTTTAAGAGTGTCAATTCAGACAAGTATCACACAAACAAAACGTACATAACGTTGTTATTACCAGCTAAATAATATATATTCTTTGTTGTAATAGATGGAGCAAGTTCTCAAGTAACAAAAACTAGTAAAGTACTTTTTAAAAGTAACTGTATATATATAACATCCAAGAAAATGATTGCATTATGCAAATTTAACCATGAATATTAAACCAACGATGTTAGGTATCACAAATGAAGAACCATTGTTCTGAAAGTGCAATGGAAAGTGGTTTAATTTATTTCAAATTCTATGTGCTTTAAAAATGTTCACCTTTTCCCAAAAGTACAGGCGGGTTTGGGTTCATTGGTGTGCATTACAACCACACACTAACAATGAAGGGTCTCCCTTGTATTGGCACAGTTCATGAATCATGGGCCCCTAATGCACTACGCGATTAGTGAGGTACCATGTCTGTTGGGCTTTGCCAGAAAATGAGTTCTATTTAAAACATATGCCCCCTGTGGATTCCTTTTCTTGCCTGATATGAAATTCAAATGTGTATAATGAACACCAATTTATTGAACGACATTAAAGTTTTAAACAGGCTTTTAGTGATGTCTATGATCCTGGCAAAACTAGTAGAAAAATGTCAACCCTCTTGACATTTCAGAATAATTTTTAACTATACAAAATTCAATTATTCAACAGGTGACATACTCTCACATACATTTGAGGTAAAACAAATGTCCTGTTTCAAAATGCTATTGGTCTTGTGTTTTTTCTGGATGAAATTATGCATGACTGACAAGCAATAAGATCTAATTATAAAAGGGACATAAACCACTCTTTCAAATCTAATGACACTATTTCATTTTAATACATTTACTTAATCACCAGCTGTTGTCATGCTAAGGTTGTTGAACTACAAGTTGATCATGCTTGTCGGTCATGGAAAACAAATGTACAATAATAATCAATTTATGGTCTGTCAACTGCATCTCAATCTTATGATGGGTCACTAATTGATGAATCCAAAATTGGATAGGACACTGCAGCTACTGTATTGTAAGGAGATACAAAGAGACATATCTTTCAATCACTCTTTATTACAATTTTACAGGAGGTTAAAATGTCATACTTCAAGTAAATAACATCAATCTAAATGTGATCTTAGTTGAAAATGGACAGAACTGTACTTGAATGCCCCATCATCGCTGTCTTCTTGCTTCGTTGTGAAGAATGGTCTCACAGTTCTTTATTTATGTGGCATGCGTTTCTTCGATATCTAGGGAAACAAAGTGTCAACTTCAGAAGTCTACTTTATGTTGTATAATACTGTATCTACAGTATATTATACTGATGTATCAGAAATGAGCAACATTGTATCCATACATTTATAAGTATCACTTCAGGGAAGCTTTCTATTTGTCAGCCAATACTCTCATCTTAACATTTCTTTTTGGCATATCTTTTTACAACATATTACAAGGAGACATCAATTCAATATCTTCAGACGAAACAAGGAATTGACCATTAGAAATACAATGAATACAATATCTAACCTAATATATGAATATGAATACTTACTACGTCATATGGTCTCAGTCTCTCTGGGACATGGGCACCTGTCTCCTCAGGAAGAGCCATTACACCTCCTGTGTCCATCATCTTGATAGCAATATGTAAGAGGAATATGTAATGTTATTACCCATATACTCCATATGCAACACCCTCAAAGAGCTTAATAAACATTGCATATGTACTCTTGAAAAGACTGCTTCTTGAACAAATATCCCACACCAAAAATGACGGCCATTTCTGAGATACTGGATCTGGCACGCCTGGCACCGACGATCATACCAAGTTCAAAGTCGCTTTGGTCAGTTGTTTTGCCCATTCTAACGTTTAATCGAACAGTAACTGAATACCTTGATGCTTGTCTGCCTGCTTTATATAGCAAGCCACGGCCACGTGACTCACTGTCTGTAGGACCGATCCACTTTTGTGAATGGGGAACTGACCCATGAGTGTATATATACATGTACACAGGTTTTTACTTAAAACACAATAGATTTAGTTAAAGGACAATTACATGTATGTACAGGTAGACATAGTTACTTATATACGGGTAAACATAGGGTAAATAGTACTTGCCCTGATGGTGGCCTCCAGCTCCCCAACACTTCTCTTCCCTCCAGGTAGCCACCCATATGACCAATGCTGAGAGAAAGTGACCTGAGCTATGAACGCCAATAACACCACCTGCACAACCGTTCTGCTGCTAAGATCCATGGAAGCTGGAAAAAAAGCCAGTAAAATACAAGCTACATTTGATAGTCAAAAATATTTTATCTAAACTCAAATACAGCTTGGGATTGTCTTGCATTGATTACCTATTGAATATGCAACTAGTATATATTATCAACACATAAATGCACAATAGTTAACTATTTTAAATGTATTTGAAAGCACATGAATGAATCACATACTGTCTCCGTTCTGTCTATTCCTTCTTACAGTGTGGTGGGAATAATCATGGGTCCCTTTTATAGGGGTCGTTAGACATGGAACAGTCTGTGTCATCAGGATTATAATCCCTTCTCCACAGGTGTGACACACTAAGTGCCTAATGGACACTAAATGTCACAAACGGGACCTGCTTAGTGCATAAGCTTCAAACTGAATTCGATGGAAACAAACATATTCGTAATGTGTTAAGAGGTGAAGTCAGTGCACATATTATAAAATATGTAATGTTTGTAAATGAAATAATATATTCTGCTCAATAAAAAAGTTACTTTGATACAAGTGGAGGCTGGTGGGAGGAGCTATAGGAGGACAGGCTCATTGTAATGGCTAGAATGGAATAAAACAACAGTCAAACTTGTGGTTTCCATATGTTTGATAACGTTCCATTATTTTTATTTCAACCATTACAATGAGCTCGTCCTCCTATAGCTCCTCCCACCAGCCTCCACTGTTTGATACCCATGTTTTGTATCTTTTACAAATATTCAGAAATTGATTGCTAATTAGTTTATTTTCAATGCATTTATTGCAATCAGAATTTGCAAATAAAATGTAAACGTCAAACAGACTTATGACAAGAGACAGTACAGGAACAAGATGCTTGTGCACTACATTAGGCCTCAATTCCATACTCTGTACATAAGATTGATTCTAAATGAAGACCATTATATGATTACACAATCCTTATCTCTTTACCTAATACAGTATGCCATTTGGCAGACACTTTTTTCCAAAGCGTCTTACAGTCATTAGTACATACATTTTACATACAGGTGGTCCTGAGAATCGAACCCACTATACTGGGGTTGCAAGCGCATTTTTCTACCAACTGAGCTACAGATAGCCAAAGAGGTAATGAATCCATAAATGTACCTTTGGTATGAAAAGGATAGCCTACCAACACTTAATAACCAGTTAACCAGGTAATTTGAATGTTTATTATATTACATTTATGATCATATACTGTATATATATTTCATAGTAAATGACAGAACATAGACATTTCAGAAACTAGCTTCCTGAAATGTGCTATTGTCAATAACCGGGTGGCAGATAGCCTAACGTGTTGCCTAGCGGTTAAGAGTGTTGGGCTAGTAAATTAAAGACCACTGCTTTGAATCCCTGAGGCGGCTAGGTGAAAAATCTTAACCATAATTGCTCCTGTAAGTTGCGCTGGATAAGAGTGTCTGCTAAATTACAATAAATAATAATTAAGTTAATTAGTGATTGATATGAGGGCACTGTGACTGAACACTCCATATCAAGAGGAAATTGATGCCTGTCTCTAAATTACACTTTTCAAGTTGAGAATAAAGCATATATTTTTGGTATATTGGTATTATAATAATTTGCCTTAACCCCAATCATGTTAATTACATATATGAAGGCTGTTTTATTAACTATATGGAAATAGTGAAAATTATATTTTATTGAAATCTAACTTCTTAAGTTAGTCTTGAAAAACTTAATTTTTACTTAATCAGAAACTTTTTCTAATCTTTGTATGGTACTGCTTCATGCAAACATACAAATGCTGAAATGTTAGGTCCAATATACTGTAGTTATTTTGAAAAGCATATGAATGCTATATATTCCAACCCAAACATTTTTTTTACAACTGTATGTATATGAACAGCCATTTGTTGGTGAGGTTAGATGATAATAGCTGTTTGAATCAGATGGCAATTCAAAGTTTTCCAAATATATTGTTTTCCATTGGATACTCAATATGCTGTTGATATGAAAAAACATATCATACACCGCAAATATTGAATGGCACTTTAAGTCACTTGTCACTTGTAAGGTCAGTAATACATTGACAAACTCTTATGGCAGGTTGTGTATCTTTACAACAGCATTTTTTTTGTCCAATCTGTGGACTTCCATAGTATGTGCCATAGCTATGGTACAGACCACAGGCAATGAAAGGCAATCTCATGGTATTTTTTTTTTTTTTACATACTCAAAATGTACATTAAATTCTACATTATATAAATAGATAAAGATTATATGCATAAGTTAATTAATAAATACACTGAGTGTACAAAATATTAAGGACATCTCCTCTTTCCATGACATAGACTGACCAGGTGCAACTCAATATTAGGAAGGTGTCCTTAATGTTTTATACACTCAGTGTTTATACATAATGTTAACATAATAACATATTTTCAGTATTGTCTTGAGTCAGAGGACCTATTCAATTAAACCCTTCATTCCCGTTTTTGATCGAATGGTCTTAGGTTTTCAATTCAAATACTGAGGACACAAAGCTAGTTGAAAAGTCCATGACTAAATAGACATAATATAATATTTTATTTGGGGCTGTTTTGAACGAGCAAACAAAAAAACAGACAGACAAACAAACAAATATATTACAATATGATACAATACGTTTAAGTACTGGTGATAGGTGCAAAGTGTAAAAAGAGCTTAAAAGAGCTTAGAAAAGAAGGTTCCAACAAAATGGTATATGCTAGGTGGAAAAATACATGGGTGTAGCAGATATTGTCATTTGAAATTGGCATAGTCTGAGAAAATGTCAACAAAATCTTTAACCACTCTGTAGCAGAAGTCATATTGTTCCTGAAACAACAAACAAACAAAACACACAACACAAACATAAATCACTGAAATACATAATTGTCATTATTTTGAAGATAATTTGAATGTATGTCATCTTTATACTGTATATTTTCATTAATGTAGGCTACCATCACCTATGATAGAAATTGTATCCAAACATGGTAAACAATGTGTTTATGCTACGATATGTAATACCTACCACAGTCTGAACCATGTGTGGTCTCTTCATACGTAAGCTCTTGACTGTCTGAAACACGTCCAGTAGGCCCTCTGCTTTCACCCGCTCCAGAATATTACTCAGGGCGATGAATGTCCCGGTCCGACCCGCACCAGCACTGAGAAATAAACCCAGGACAGAATCATCAGCATCTACAGCAACAGATACGTTTGCTCTAAAGGCCAGTAACTACCATTAGAGGGTACTGTATTTGTATTTATTATGGATCCCCATTAGCTGCTGCCAAGGCGGCAGCTACTCTTCCTGGGGTCCAGCAAAATTAAGGCAGTTATACATTTTTAAAAACATTACAATACATTCATAACAGATTTCGCAACATATTAAGTGTGTGCCCTCAGGCCTCTACTCTACTACCACATATCTATAACACAAAATCCATGTGTACGTGTGTATAGTGCGTATGTTATCGTGTGTTTGTATGCACGTGTCTATGTTTGTGTTGCTTCACAGTCCCCGCTGTTCCATGAGGTGTATTTCTATCTGTTTTTTAAATCTAATTTTATTGCTGGCATGAGTTACTTTATGTGGAATAGAGTTCCATGTAATCATGGCTCTATGTAGTACTGTGCGCCTCCCATAGTCTGTTCTTGACTTGGGGACTGTGAAGAGACCTCTGGTGGCATGTCTTGTGGGGTCTGCATGGGTGTCCGAGCTGTGGGCCAGTAGTTCAAACAGACAGCTTGGTGCATTCAACATGTCAATACCTCTCACAAACACAAGTAGTGATGAAGTCAATCTCTCCTCCACTTTGAGCCAGGAGAGATTGACATGCATATTATTAATGTTAGTCCCTCTTCGTGGTACCTGACCACACGACTGAACAGTAGTCCAGGTGCGACAAAACTAGGACCTGTAGGACCTGCCTTGTTGATAGTGCTGTTAAGAATGCAGAGCAGTGCTTTATTATAGACAGACTTCTCCCCATCCTAGCTACTGTTGTATCAATATGTTTTGACCATGACAGTTTACAATCCAGGGTTACTCCAAGCAATTTATTGAATATGTGCTTAGAACTGAATGTGAGTCAAGGGAGTATACTACATTCCATACACCCTCAGGGCTCTACCAGTTCACTGTCATGCCGTTTGGGCTGCATTGAGCGCCAAAGCAATGCACTAATTTCACAACATTCTATGTATTTTATCGTGTTGGATTTCCTTGGTGCAGCAAAACAGGTAAGTTACACTACATGACTAAAAGTATGTGAACACCTCCTCGTTGAAGATCTCATTCCAAAATCATGGGCATTAATATGGAGTTGGTTGCCCCTTTGCTGCTATAACAACCTCTACTCTTCTGGGAAGGCTTTCCACTAGATGTTGGAACATTGCTGCGGGGACTTGCTTCCATTCAGCCACAAGAGCATTAGTGAGGTCGGGCACTGATGTTGAGTGATTAGGCCTGGCTCGCAGTCGGCGTTCCAATACAACCCAAAGGTGTTCGATGGGGTTGAGGTCAAGGCTCATTGCAGGCTCATTCATGTTCTTCCACACCGATCTCAACAAACCATTTCTGTATGGACCTCGCTTTGTGCATGAGGGCATTGTCAAGATGAAACAGGAAAGGGCCATCCCCAAACTGTTGCCACAGCCCCAGACCATTATTCCTCCTCCACCAAACTTTACAGTTGGCACTATGCATTCGGGCAGGTAGTGTTCTCCTGGCATTCGCCAAACCCAGATTTGTCCGTCAGACTGCCATATGGTGAAGCGTGATTTATCACTCCAGATAACGTATTTCCACTGCTCCAGAGTCCAATGGTGGCGAGCTTTACACCACTTGGCATTCCGTATGGTGATCTTAGGCTTGTGTGTGGCATCCTATGACGGTGTCGCGTTGAAAGTCACTGAGCTCTTCAGTAAGGCCATTCTACTGCCAATGTTTGTCTATGGGGATTGCATGGCTGTGTGCTTGATTGTATATACCTGTCAGCAACGGGTGTGGCTGAAATAGCCGAATCCACTAATTTGAAGGGGTGTCCACATACTCTATATATACAAAAGGATCTTGTTAGTGGTTGATAGGAGAGATCTCTAACAGTAGAGCTCCTAGATCTACAGCTTCCTATTCTCCCATTTCCCTAACCATAGGGCTATACTGCAAACCCTACAACTTACACCATCCTTTCCCATTTGTATTGAAAGCAATTAGTTGGAGAAAAGGTGACCTTTGACTAATAGTACTAATAATCAGCCTCCCTTAAAGACACTAATCCAAACGGTAGCACTAATAAGTCTGCTATCTCTCACTCTCTTTGGATTGAGTCAGTGCTTACAATGCCGGTGAGAGAGCGAGAAGAGAGAGGGTGATTGTAATGGGCAAGCCCCCACTCCCAGCGGATGAGAATAAGCTTTAAAAATCTCCTCTTTAGACAGGCCCTGATGAAGGAATATGAGAGAGTGATGACACCATTTCCTGTTGTTAGCTCATTCTATCAGATTAATCAAAGCCGGAGTGGTAGGAGATTTCACTTTGAGAGGTTTTAATTGACTGTGAATCAGTGGATTGGATCAATCCCAGTGGGCCGTGCTGCATGAGAAGTACTTCACCTGGAGCTACGCATGTTCTGATCAGAGCTTTTACAGCAGTCTTTCACACAAGTCTTTATAAAGAGTTGGGCTGTAGAACAGAGTCTACAAAGGCAAAATGGAGAAAAGTCATAGATTTTCTTTAAAACATTATTTTGTGTTTGGTATGATCCTAATGTGTTTTTAAACCCCTAGAGACGATTGACACACTACATAACAAAAAATATCCCCATCAGAATCTGTCAGATTAAGCTAGAGGTATCTGTTTTTTTGCATTGGATGTGTCTCAATCCACCGCATCTGCCAGTGTTGCACTTCCACATCTGTGGTGAAAGGTGGTAGAGCTAGCACAAAAACGTCTGTAACGTCCGAACGGTTTGACCTACAAACGATTAAGGGGAGACTCTCACGAACATGATGGTGTTCTCCGTTTTGCTCTTCGACCACCACAAGGGTCAGGAGACTCATCTGATGTCGGTACCGTCGACGTGCCAACTTCTGTTTGGTAGCGTTCGAACCATTTGGGCTACAAATTAATGGGAACACAATGGTGTTCTCCGTTATGCTCTACGACCCCCTAAAGGTAACCTGTACCGGTTTTAAAAAACTAATGGAAGTATGAAGGTAGTTTTGTGCCTACCCCAAAAAGGGGTTAAAAATGTGCAAAAAAAATTATATATATACAGTGAGGGAAAAAAGTATTTGATCCCCTGCTGCTTTTGTATGTTTGCCCACTGACAAAGACATGATCAGTCTATAATTTTAATGGTAGGTTTATTTGAACAGTGAGAGACAGAATAACAACAAAAAAATCAAGAAAAACGCATGTCAAAAATGTTATAAATTGATTTGCATTTTAATGAGGGAAAAAAGTATTTGACCCCTCTGCAAAACATGACTTAGTACTTGGTGGCAAAACCCTTGTTGGCAATCATATAGGTCAGACGTTTCTTGTAGTTGGCCACCAGGTTTGCACACATCTCAGGAGGGATTTTGTCCCACTCCTCTTTGCAGATCTTCTCCAAGTCATTAAGGTTTCGAGGCTGACGTTTGGCAACAGGAACCTTCAGCTCACTCCACAGATTTTCTATGGGATTAAGGTCTGGAGACTGGCTAGGCCACTCCAGGACCTTAATGTGCTTCTTCTTGAGCCACTCCTTTGTTGCCTTGGCCGTGTGTTTTGGGTCATTGTCATGCTGGAATACCCATCCACGACCCATTTTCAATGCCCTGGCTGAGGGAAGGAGGTTCTCACCCAATATTTGACGGTACATGGCCCCGTCCATCGTCCCTTTGATGCGGTGAAGTTGTCCTGTCCCCTTAGCAGAAAAACACCCCCAAAGCATAATGTTTCCACCTCCATGTTTGACGGTGGGGATGGTGTTCTTGGGGTCATAGGCAGCATGCCTCCTCCTCCAAACACGGCGAGTTGAGTTGATGCCAAAGAGCTCGATTTTGGTCTCATCTGACCACAACACTTTCACCCAGTTCTCCTCTGAATCATTCAGATGTTCATTGGCAAACTTAAGACGGGCCTGTATATGTGCTTTCTTGAGCAGGGGGACCTTGCGGGCACTGCAGGATTTCAGTCCTTCACGGCGTAGTGTGTTACCAATTGTTTTATTGGTGATTATGGTCCCAGCTGCCTTGAGATCATTGACAAGATCCTCCCGTGTAGTTCTGGACTGATTCTTCACCGTTCTCATGATCGTTCTTCACCGTTCTCAAGGTTGTTCCTTAAAAGTAATTTCCTCTCAATCTTAAATAAACATGCCCCATTCAAAAAATACAGAACTAAGAACCGATATAGCCCCTGGTTCTCCTCAGACTTGACTGCCCTTGACCAGCACAAAAACATCCTGTGGCGTACAGCATTAGCATCAAATAGCCCCCGCGATATGCAACTTTTCAGGGAAGTTAGGAACCAATATACACAAGCAGTCAGGAAAGCAAAGGCTAACTATTTCAAACAGAAATTTGCATCCTGTAGCACTAACTCCAAAAAGTTTTGGGACACTGTAAAGTCCATGGAGAATAAGAGCACTTCCTCCCAGCTGCCCACTGCACTGAGGCTAGGAAACACTATCACCACCGATAAATCTACAATAATCGAGAATTTCAACAAGCATTTTGCTACAGCTGGCCATGCTTTCCATCTGGCTACCACTAACCCGGCCACCAACTCTGCACCCTCTGCTGCAACTTGCCCATTCCCCCCCCGCTTCTCCTTCACACAAATTCAGACAGCTGATGTTTTGAAAGCGCTGCAAAATCTGGACCCCTACAAATCAGCTGGGCTAGACAATCTGGACCCTTTCTTTCTAAAACTAGCCGCCGAAATTGTCGCAACCCCTATTACTAGTCTGTTCAACCTCTCTTTCATAACGTCTGAGATCCCCAGAGATTGGAAAGCTGCCGCGGTCATCCCCCTCTTCAAAGGGGGTGACACTCTAGATCCAAACTGCTACAGACCTATATCCATCCTGCCCTGCCTTTCGAAAGTATTCGAAAGCCAAGTTAACAAACAGATCATCGACCATTTCGAATACCACCGTACCTTCTCCGCTATGCAATCCGGTTTCCGAGCTGGTCACGGGTGCACTTCAGCCACGCTCAAGGTCCTAAACGATATTATAACCGCGATTGATAATAGACAGTACTGTGCAGCCGTCTTCATCGACCTGGCCAAGGCTTTCGACTCTGTCAACCACCGCATTCTTATTGGCAGACTAAATAGCCTTGGTTTCTCAAATGACTGCCTCGCCTGGTTCACCAACTACTTCTCAGATAGAGTTCAGTGTGTCAAATCGGAGGGCCTGTTGTCTGGACCTATGGCAGTCTCTATGGGGGTGCCACAGGGTTCAATTCTTGGGCCGACACTTTTCTCCGTGTATATCAATGATGTCGCTCTTGCTGCTGGTGACTCTCAGATCCACCTCTATGCAGACGACACCATTTTGTATACATCTGGCCCTTCATTGGATACTGTGTTAACAAACCTCCAAACGAGCTTCAATGCCATACAACAATCCTTCAGTAGCCTTCAACTGCTCTTAAACACTAGTAAAACTAAATGCATGCTTTTCAATCGAACGCTGCTGGCACCCGCCCACCCGACTAGAATCACCACTCTCGACGGGTCTGACCTAGAGTATGTGGACAACTACAAATACCTAGGTGTCTGGTTAGACTGTAAACTCAACTTCCAGACTCACATAAAGAATCTCCAATCCAAAGTTAAATCTAGAATCGGCTTCCTATTTCGCAACAAAGCCTCCTTCACTCATGCTGCCAAACATGCCCTCGTAAAACTGACTATCCTACCGATCCTTGACTTCGGCGATGTCATTTACAAAATAGCCTCCAACACTCTACTCAGCAAATTGGATGTAGTCTATCACAGTGCCATCCGTTTTGTCTCCAAAGCCCCATACACTACCCACCACTGTGACCTGTACGCTCTTGTTGGCTGGTCCTCACTACATGTTCGTCGTCAAACCCACTGGCTCCAGGCCATCTATAAATCACTGCTAGGCAAATCCCCGCCTTATCTTAGCTCATTGGTCACCATAGCAGCACCCACCCGTAGTCTGCGCTCCAGCAGGTATATCTCACTGGTCATTCCCAAAGCCAACACCTCCTTTGGCCGCCATTCCTTCCAGTTCTCTGCTGCCAATGACTGGAACGAATTGCAAAAATCTCTGAAGCTGGAGACTCTTATCTCCCTCAATAACTTTAAGCATCAGTTGTCAGAGCACCTTACCGATCACTGCACCTGTACACAGCCCATCTGAAATTAGCCCACCCAACTACCTCATCCCTATATTGTTATTTATTTTGCTCTTTTGCACCCCAGTATCTCTATTTGCACATAATCTCTTGCACATCTAGCATTCCAGTGTTAATACTATTGTAATTATTCTGCACTATAGCCTATTTATTGCCTTACCTCCATAACTTGCTACATTTGCACACACTGTATATATATTTTCTGTTGTATTTCTGACTTTATGTTTTTTACCCCATATGTAACTCTGTGTTGTTTTTATTGCACTACTTTGCTTTATCTTGGCCAGGTCGCAGTTGTAAATGAGAACCTGTTCTCAACTGGCTTACCTGGTTAAATAAAGGTGAAAAAAATATAAAAATAAAAAAAATCATTGCAACTCCACGAGGTGAGATCTTGCATGGAGCCCCAGGCTGGGGGAGATTGACAGTTCTTTTGTGTTTCTTCCATTTGCGAATAATCTGTTGTCACCTTCTCACCAAGCTGCTTGGCGATGATCTTATAGCCCATTCCAGCTTTGTGTAGGTCTACAATCTTGTCCCTGACATCCTTGGAGAGCTGTTTGGTCTTGGCCATGGTGGAGAGTTTGGAATCTGATTGATTGATTGCTTCTGTGGACAGGTGTCTTTTATACAGGTAACAAATTGAGATTAGGAGCACTCCCTTTAAGAGTGTGTTCCTAATCTCAGCTCGTTACCTGTATAAAAGACACCTGGGAGCCAGAAATCTTTCTTATTGAGAGGGGGTCAAATACTTATTTCCCTCATTAAAATGCAAATCAATTTATAACATTTTTGACATGCGTTTTTCTGGATTATTTTTTTGTAATTCTGTCTCTCACTGTTCAAATAAACCTACCATTAAAATTATAGACTGATCATTTCTTTGTCAGTGGGCAAACTTACAAAATCAGCAGGGAAATAAATACTTTTTTCCCTCACTGTATATATTTCCTGAGTTTTTTAAATATCTCCTTGATTTAGGACAGATACCTCAAAACCTTGTTTCTTATGATACATTTTTTGACTGTCCTTTTTGCCATTTATGAATGTGTTATTCAATGCGTTTCTACGGGCTTTAGTAGTAAAGGCCAAAATCTATATTTTATCCAAAAGAAATTGGATATATATTTTTTTTATACCTAAAGGGGTCCTAAAATTCCAAATCAAATAGCTAAATGATCCATAGTATGACCATCTGAAAACAATTACATATGTCAGCTTAGCACCCCCCCTCCCTCAACTTTTTACACTCCAAGTAATTAAAAGGGCAGTAGTAATGAGAGTGTTTTGGGCTCCCAGATTTGGTTTGTGTGTACAGTACATGTCCCTTACCTGCAGTGTACTATGATATGGTGGTTTCCAGACTGTTGTTGCTGTCTCTGCACTGAAGCAATGATGTCGATCATTCCCTTTCCCTCTGCCGGTATTCCGATCTCAGGCCAGCCGTGGAAATGAAAGTGCCGGACGTGCCTTGACTGTTTTTCCTGGTGATGGGAAACATATGTGATTCATCATTACATACATTAGTATACCTGGTAACGAAAAATAAACCTAACATGAACCTGACACAATTCACTTCAAGATAAGACACACATTTAGATAACAGAATACCATTGATTAGAGGACCAAACCCAGTGATCCTAAAGGACAAAAATAATTTACATCACAAATAATATATTTAAAATACATCCATATCGGGTAGCTCGCGTAAATGCTTGTTTATGTGAAGGAAACTCACTGGTCCATATGTGAGCACAATGTCCTTCAGAGTGAAAGTGTCACATAGGGCATCCCCTTTCAGCTCCAAAGTGTAGTCTCCAAACGTCACAGTGCCCTCTGCTGGCCAGTACTGGAAACATTTGTCCTGGGGACAGATTAATGTCAGGCAGGGGTGTCAAACATATAGCCCACAGGTGGGAAAAACAACCTAAATCTACGTTGAAATGACTAATAACAAATCGAAACTGTGTAGTAATTATCATGGTTTAAAAGAAAATATAATGATAATGGACCTAGACTTATATGGTCTCTCTGTCTAGCTTGTTAAAAATCCACTAATTGAAAGCTAGACAGTCAGGGCGCATTGAAAATACAGAAAAACGATGGATAGAAATGTCTTTGCTAATTTTGACGACAAGGAAATATAACAAATGTTTGAGCGGCCCTCCGGACTACTGTGAAGTCCAAATACGGGCCCTCGGGGAAAAATGAATTTGACACCCCTGATGTAAGGCAATTCTACATGGACATTTCTGTAGAAGATCAAGACTATAGAACATTTAACCCCCCCCCCCCAAAAAAAAAAATTCTAAGATAAATAAATATTTTGTCTATCACTATTAGAGGCAGCTAACTAGCAACGTGCATGCCACGCCCACCTGAGGATCTCTATTTCCTGTGTTTGAGGGGTGCAAAATCGACTGGATTGATTGCTTTAATTTTACACTGGTGACTCTTTCCCACTCTTGCTTGTGCCATTAGTTATTTTCCATTAACGTTACGACCTCGGAAACATTTGTAATGACCTGTTAAACACACTCTGGTAACGGCTGAAATGGGCTCAATGGTTTTCCAGTGCATCTATTGGGTGTTGATTTTTTGTGCAAATGAAAAAAGTAAACATTTTATACAGTTGACTTTTTTTTTAATTAGACGCGCTGAAATTTAAGCAATTTCCGAATAAACATTCTGATTATAGTGATACTGATCTCTCAAACAATGTAAAGCAGGGGTCTCCAACCTCTTCTAGCTACTTTTAAAACTACTCATCTTTTTCTAGCTTTCAAATAGGCACATTATTCTCTTCTCCTCTCACCTGCAACTCTTCCCCAGGTCCTTAGTGTACAAGAAAAAGTAGTGCACTATATTTTCTGTAAATATACCTGGTAAAACAATGGTTAATAAACAACTATAAGGGGGGCCCTATAAAAATCAGACGTTTACATACACCTTAGCCAAATACATTTCAACTTAGTTTTTCACAATTCCTGACATTTAATCCTAGTACAAATTCCCTGTCTTAGGTCCGTTAGGATCACCACTTTATTTTAAGAATGTGAAATGTCAGAATAATAGTAGAGAGAATGATCTATTTCAGCTTTTTATTTATTTCATCACATTCCCAGTGGGTCAGAAGTTTACACACACTCAATTAGCATTTGGCAGCATCACCTTTAAATTGTTTAACTTGGGTCAAACGTTTCGGGTAGCCTTCCACAAGCTTCCCACAATAAGTTGGGTGAATTTTGGCCCATTCCTCCTGACAGAGCTGGTGTAACTGTGTCAGGTTTGTAGGCCTCCTTGCTCGCACACACTTTTCAGTTCTGCCCACAAATTCTATGTAGGTTTGAGGTCAGTGCTTTGTGATGGCCACTCCAATACCTTGACTTTGTTGTCCTTAAGCCATTTTCCCAATCCACATAATTTTCCTTCCTCATGATGCCATCTATTTTGTGAAGTGCACAAGTCCCTCCTGCAGCAAAGCACTCCCACAGCATGATGCTGCCACCCCTGTGCTTCACGGTTGGGATGGTGTTCTTCAGCTTGCAAGCATCCCCCTTTTTCCTCCACACATAATGACGGTCATTATGGCCAAACAGTTCTATTTTTGTTTCATCAGACCAGAGGACATTTCTCCAAAAAGTAAGATCTTTGTCCCCATGTGCAGTTGCAAACCGTAGTCTGGCTTTTTTATGGTGGATTTGGAGCAGTGGCTTCTTCCTTGCTGAGTGGCCTTTCAGGTTATGTCGATATAGGACTCGTTTTACTGTGGATATAGATACTTTTGTACCTGTTTCTTCCAGCATCTTCACAAGGTCATTTGCAGTTGTTCTGGAATTGATTTGCACTTCTCACACAAAAGTATGTTCATCTCTAGGAGACAGAACGCGTCTCCTTCCTGAGCGGTATGATGGCTGCATGGTCCCATGGTGTTTATACTTGCGTACTATTGTTTGTAGAGGTGAACGTGGTACCTTCAGGCGTTTGGAAATTGCTCCCAAGGATGAACCAGACTTGTGGAGGTCTACAATTGTTTTTCTGAGGTCTTGGCTGATTTCTTTTGATTTTCCCATGATGTCAAGCAAAGAGGCACTGAGTTTGAAGTTAGGCCTTGAAATACATCCACAGGTACACCTCCAATTGACTCAAATATTGTCAATTAGCCTATCAGAAGCTTCTAAAGCCATGACATCATTTTCTGGAATTTTCCAACCTGTTTAAAGGCACAGTCAATTTAGTGTATGTAAACTTCTGACCCACTGGAATTGTGATACAGTGAATTATAAGTGAAATAACCTGTCTGTAAACAATTGTTGAAAAAATTACTTGTGTCATGCAGAAAGTAGATGTCCTAACCGACTTGCCAAAACTATAGTTTGTTAACAAGAAATTTGTGGAGTGGTTGAAAAACAAGTTTTAATGACTCCAACCTAAGTGTATGTAAACCTCCGACTTCAACTGTATTTTCCCAAATTATGTCTCAGTTATTTAATTAATTTTATTACAATTGTTCATAGAGAAACAAACAAATTGGATGTTCTGAGTCCATGGCAATTCGTAAATCACATCATATTACAATTTTTGAGTGTAATTCCCCTTTAATTGTGAATCTGGCCTTTTAATTGTGCATCTAGTAGTGAGGAATGTGCCGTCTAATGTGCCGGTCTAGCGATGGTTCTGTACTGCTGCTGCTCATTTCATGGCAAAGTTTGCAAATAACAAATAATAGATACAAAATAGATACTGTGACACTCTGGCTCCGGGACTTTTGTATTTGAGCCAGGGTGTATTTTGTTATGTTGGGTTTGGGTGTATTTCTAGGTTTGCCTTTCTGTTGGCTTCATTTCTAGGTTTGGTCTATGACTCCCAATCGGAGGTAACGAGTGTCAGCTGTCGGCTCGTTATCTCTGATTGGGAGCCATATTTAATCTGAATGTTTTCCTGTGGGAATTGTGGGTTTTTGTTCCGTTTCGGTCAGTGTACCGTGGACTTCATTGAGTCGTCTTTTGTTTTGTAGTTCTATAACGTTTAATTAATAAAGTCATGTTTCTTGGACACGCTGCGCCTTGGTCATACTTAGACGACATAGACGACCGTGACAGAAAAACCCACCATAATAGGACCAAGCAGCGTGTCAAGCGGCAACAGGACCCTGCTCCTAAGGATTCATGGACATGGGGGGAGATACTGGCTGGAGAGGGTCCTTGGGCACAACCGGGAGAATATCGCCGCCCTCGTGAAGAGCTGGAGGCAGCTAAAGCCGAGAGGAGGCGGTATGAGGAGGCAGCACGGAGTCAAGGCTGGAAGCCCGTGGGTACCACCCAAAAATTTCTTGGGGGGGGGCTTAAAGGGAGTGTGGCGAAGTCAGGTAGGAGACCTGCGCCTACTCCCTGGACTTACCGTGGAGAGCGAGAGTACGGGCAGACACCGTGTTACGCAGTAGAGCGCATGGTGTCTCCTGTACGCAGGCATAGCCCGGTTCGGTACATTCCAGCTCCACGTATCGGCCGGGTTAGAGTGAGCGTTGAGCCAGATGTCATGAAGCCGGCCCAACGCATCCGGCTACCAGTGCGTCTTCTCGGGCCGGCGTACATGGCACCAGCCTTACGCATGGTGTTCCCGGTTCGCCCACATAGGCCGGTGCGGGTTATTCCACCTCCCCGTACTGGTCGGGCGACGGGGAGCATCAACCCGGGTAAGGTTGGGCAGGCTCAGTGCTCAAGGGGGCCAGTAAGCCTGCACGGTCCGGTATTTCCGGCGCCACCTCCCCGCTCCAGCCCAGTACCACCAGTGCCTACACCACGCACCAAGCCTCCTGTGTGTTCCCCGAGTCCTGTGCGTCCTGTTGCTGCTCTCCGCACTAGGCCTTATGTGCGTCCCCAGGGTCCAGCATGCCCTGTTCCTTCTCCCCGCACTAGGCTTTATGTGCGTTCCCAGGGTCCAGCATGCCCTGTTGCTTCTCCCCGCACTAGCTCTGAGATGCGTGTCCTCAGCCCGGTACCTCCAGTTCCGGCACCACGCACCAGGCCTACGGTGCGCCTCAGACGGCCAGAGTCTGCCGTCTGCCCAACGGGGCCTGAACTGCCCGTCTGCCCAAAGGCGCTTGAACTGGCCGTCTGGACTGAGCCTGCAAAGCCGCCCGTCTGCCATGAGCCTTCAGAGCCGTCCGCCAGACCGGAGCCGCTAGAGCCTTCCGCCAGACAGGATCAGCCAGAGCCTTCCGCCAGACAGGATCAGCCAGAGTCTTCCGCCAGCCATGAGCAGCCAGATCCGTCAGCCGGCCATGAGCAGCCAGATCCGTCGGCCAGCCATGAGCAGCCAGATCCGTCGGCCAGCCATGAGCAGCCAGATCCGTCAGCCAGCCATGAGCAGCCAGATCCGTCAGCCAGCCATGAGCAGCCAGATCCTTCAGCCAGCCATGAGCCGTCCAGCCAGGATCCGCCAGAGCCAGCCAGCCAGGATCCGCCATTGAGTCCGGTGCTGT